GGCGGGCGGGCGCCCCCTGGCGGCCGCGATCCTGAGCCCCGCCTGTCGCGATGGCAACCGGCGAGGGGAGAGGTGGCAGAAGAGAGCTGCCCTTCGGCTTTGAATGTCTACATCCCGCCAGCACATCTTCACGTACAGGCTTTGCCCGGGGCTTGTAAAGCGTCTGGCAGCACGGACGCTCCTGTGAGAGACGGCGGCTGAGTGCCATCACCGAACAGATGTTCCTATTTTACACGAGAGAGGGTGATGGCAGAGGCCGAATTCACTTTTTCTATCAATGCAGAAGCTGTTGCTGAAATCTGCTGTACAGGAGAATCAATATAAAGGGTTGGAAAACTAAAATAAGGAACTTTCCCCTTTCCAAAATTTCCCAAGTTTATAATCACAAGAGAAGCCCCCCTTTTGCTTGCTTCATCTTCACTTTTTTTTTTTTTTAATGCCACAGGAAATAACAGTAAATTCTACTTCTCCACAAAGCAGAGTATTTCAAACAGCATCTTACTATTTTGCAAAATAAGTCACTTACTTTTAAGACACCAGGGAGACCATGACAGTCACTCATTTCATGACTTAAAACAGATTATAGAATTTTAACCAAGCTTTTCATTCATTGAGCTGTTCTGCTCTGGCTTAGCCTGGTTACCTCATTTTAAGATCAAGCTTTCAATTAGCAGAGAATCCACAACATTCCTGATGTCCTAATGTTGTTCTGCTGATTAGTTAAAAAAAAAATATATATACCCTGCTTCTGGCCTCACTCCTATTCATTAGCTGGAAGTTGAGATTGGACTTACTCTGTTTATCAAATCCTACCCTTAGCCTTTGTCCTGAGAGTTAGAAACATGTCTTTAGGGTGATGTGATTTGTTGGAGTAACACAGAAAGAGCTTCATCGTGTCACAGAGAAGTTTCCATGATAAGCAGCATGAATATAAGTAAAAGTATCCTTCTGAAGGCCTGCTGAGCCTTCAGAAATTAAATATGCACCATGTATCTATTATCTCCTGAGGTGAATTACCAATTGAAAAACATCCTGCCATCCCGGTTCAGTTTGTGCTCTGCTGTTTACCCTTGCCATAGGAGCTGAGGATACTGTCTCAGTGTCTCCAGGACAGCTTCTGTTAAAAGTTCTCATGAACTGGCTATAGCCACCCAAACGGGTGGATGCCCAGGTTTTCTCTCTCTATTCACCAAAATGTTTTCCATGTAAATATTCCAAAAAAGAACTTTCCCTAGTTCCCAGCGGAGGGCAGTAATGAGAACTTAAAATCCGTAATCTGTCATGGGAAAAGGAAAAAAAACCCAAACCAATCCTTTGCTTTGAACTCTGTCCTGCTTGGCGAGATGACCTCAGGCTAACCAAAGCACAATGCATTTTCTGTACATTTTGATTGATTTCTTCTCCACACAAAGCAACACCACCCAACAACACCTACGTCAGATAATAAGACAGTAAAAGAAAAACATCTGAGGAGGATCCTCTTTGAAGCCACAGATCCAGTTCAAAGTTATGGGCATCAAACAGTGATATCAAAGCTTTAGACAGAAAAGTCTAAATGAGTCTCATTTTCTAAACCACCATGTGCTTGGGATGTTCAGACAGCTCTGGGTCTGGTTTTAATCACTCGGAACCCATTCCAACTGGAAATACAGAAAAGCCTGCGTGATATTCACCTTCCTGTTTAAATGGGCAACACAGATGATGCTCAATTAGCTAGGATGTATCCTTACCAAAATAAGAATGGAGTAAACCTTTTCTTCAATGAAAGCAGTAAGCATAGCTCATGATAATAACCTTTGCTAAAGGTAATTCATGTTTAAAAGGACATATAGGAGGTTATCTAAGGTATTTTGTCTAGCATCAGTTTTCTTGCTCCTTGTTGCATGGATTCAGACTTTGGATCAAGTCTCTGCCATGCAGATTGGGCACCAGACTGATTTCTGAGCATAAAATCAGGAGGGCTCATTAAGATAGCTGTGCTAAAGGAAACTGCCCACATAGCAAATCATTCTTCTTTTTCACCAGCACTATTTCACAAGTTTTCCATAATTTTTTGATGCTTTAGGGATCAAGACTTAGAACCCCCACAAAAAAATCACACCATAGTAATGTCAATGAAGTCTAAAACTTGCATTTGAACAAGAACTGATGATCCCCTTTCCCTGAACCATCCTGCGCATTTAAAACAAAGTAGTAACCACTCATACCTATTTCATAGCTACTATAAAGAGTAAAACTTACACTATAATAAACAGAAGTTTAATCTGTTAGTTCAGGTTACCGAACTAGCTACTTCAAAATCATTAGCCATACTTTGACTCAGACTCTCCAGACTAGAGCTTCAAAATAAATCTAAGAATAATGATGTCCACCTTTTATTTCAGACTTTGATCCAGTGCAGGCTGAGCACCTGCAGGAACAGCCCCTTTCAAAGCCAGGTGGTGGTGATCTGAAACAGATCTGAGCAGCATACAAAGTTTAAAGCTTATTGGGGACAAAAATGTGTAGAAGTGACCTGAACAAACACCAACGCTTCCCCAATCCCTCCAAAAAAGTGAAATTCTCAGCAAGAGAGCTCACATCCCTCCCACAATAACTGTTAGCAACCGAAGTCCAAAGTAGACCAACATGTCCACAGAAGCAATTCATCGCAGCTCCATGCTCTTAAACATGCCTGTAATTTCCCAGATGTTTCTCACTCTTTCAAAAATAAGCACTGCATATAAAAATACAACCTAGTTTGGTTTTTTAAAATATAGTTTCAGTAATGAAAGCCTGAAAGATATTTTTCAAAACCAAAACAGATTGATTTAGTAGGGGCTTTAAAACCATCCAGTGGAAACACTTCAGTAGTATCTGCTCTCTTATCACAACTTTTACATCCCACATCTAAAATAAGTTACTTTGAGGATCAAACAAGAACGAATGCCATGTGCACCTAGGACTTCCCACCCATAAATAATGCAAATCCTACTTCTGTTCCCTTTCAAATTAACTGATGTACACCATTTTTATTCCCTTTCTTCTAGCCTTTTTTGAAAGCAGAGCTGCAACACCAAGTCATACCTCCAAGACCGATGATTCCTTAAATTCTCACTTCGGAATTCACAAATGTACCAACCAAATTATTTTAATTTAGTTGTTAGCATATACATTAACACTCAAAAGTGTGATAAAAACCAAACAAAAGTAGTTTTAATAAACAGCATGTGATACAGACTGCAACGATAAATAAAAAGCAGACTTTTTACAGTTTCCCATGAACATGAGCTACAATAAGTATCATAGGCCAAACTTTTGTTAACTTGAGTAGCACAGCTGAAAGGGAAAAAAGGTGTTGTGGGTTGTTGTGGGTTTTTTTTGTTTGTTTTTTGTTTAAAAGTATTGCAAGACTATTCTCAGTATGACAACACATGCATCTTGCTGCATCTTAAATACTTTTTTTGGCCCATTATTACTAAAAATGTCTTGCTTTCTAACTATTTTACCACAGGACCTTTATCACAGAATGACATACACATGGCAACATTCCTCCCCCCACCCCCAACCCCCCTAGTAGTGGTTATTTCAAAAAAGTCTCATTTTTAAAAGATATTTCAAGCACTGGTGGGTGTTCATAATCCCCTTTTGATGCAGACATGTAACTGCTACCAGCTTCAAAGTTACATACCAGCATCAAGAGATGACATCCTCATGGGCTCTATTTATCCAAAATGCCAAAAGGATCCTGGCCTGCCTTAGGAAGAGCATTGCCGGCAGGTCGAAGGAGGTGACCCTTCATCCTGCCCCTCTGCTCAGCACTGGTGAGGCCACACCTGGAGTGCTGGGTCCTGTGCTGGGCTCCCCAGTACAAGCCAGACATGGACATACTGGATGGGTCCAGCAAAGGGCAATGGAGATGATGGATAGGAGAGAAGGCTGAGAGCGCTGCGACTGCTCAGCCTGGTGAAGAGAAAGCTCAAGGGGTATCTTGTCAACATATATCAATACTTGATGGAGAGGAATAAAGACAACACGCAAGGCTTTCCTGAGTGCTGCCTACTGAAAGGACATTAGGCAATGAAATAGAAGAAATTTCATATAAACATTAAGAAAAAACTTCTTCCTTGGACTCTTCTTTCCTGGACAGACTCTAAACCCCACTGGATGGTGTCCTGGGCAACCTGATCTAGCTGACCTTGCTTCAAACAGGGTGGCTGGACTAGATGATCTGCAAAGATTTCTGCCAACCTTGAGGTTCTGTGAAAATTCCTGCAGTTGTGGTGCCAGTTGCAGTGACAATAGTTTCAAAATTTCAAGCCTGAGAATCCAGGACATCAGACTGCAGACATACATACTTTAAATCCTTTTCTCTACTAGGGAAGTGGATTTTGATAGTGAATGTGGATATTTACAGTTAAAACTTAGAGGTGCGAGGGGAAAGGATGATACTCCCAGATGATGAATTACACATTTATCTTCACAAGAGAAAATGAAGAATTTGGACCACAGCAGCTGTAAGACAAGAGGAGGATTTATCTCCTCACCTCTTATTTTCTTTCCTCTGCCCCAAACGAAACAGTAAGACAACTTTGGACAGCCTGGAGCAGTTGATAATCCAGGATATAGAACACTTCATAAAACCTGGAAATAGGTTACTAAAAGTAGTTAAACCAAAGAAACAAGGCAGAATGAGATTGCAGCTGTGAATATCCATGTTTTGGCTCTCAGTGAGTAACTAAACTACAACAGACATAAGGTTCTTAAAAGAAACAGCTTCTGCTTGAATTAGGCTTTCTGTAACTTCAGCAGCACAATTAAGTCAGATTTAACCGTGATTAATTTTATTACTGGAACAGGTTCTTAACAAAACTGATGCAGTTACACTGAACTAAATGGTTCCTAAGCCAGTTTAATTGCTACCGGGGATCTGTCACTCTTCAGAAAGAGTCAAGATAGACTAGTGTATTTTTTAGCCTTTTTTATGCCAAAGGAATATTGCATCACATATAGAAGTGACAGTAAGGACACTTAACCATAAGACACATTTATACAAACCAGTGGGGATGCTAGCTTCAAAGTACAGGCAGAGCATTGCTTCAATTGATCTCCTCATAACAAGTATTTTATGTTGGTCTTATGAGGGTGTTTGAGAGGGGTGTTTTTAGAGAGGAAGAGATGGGGGCAGAGACACACACCTCTGGTTTAGAGTCAGGAGTGCCAAGACACTAAGACCTCATACTTTTTAAGAGTCTATCCCATAAAGCTCAGAAGTCAAGAATACTGTACTGCACATTAAGAACAACTATTTTTCTTGAGTGTGGGTTCAACAAGTCTTTACAATATGACAGTGTAGGAAGAAGAAACTTCTAAGCTAGTAAGCAATAAAAACACTGGAAATCTCAAGAATGAAAAAAAACTATAGACAAGATTACAATAGTTACGAATCAGAGAGCTGAAAACACTAGTGAATAAAGATTATTTCGAAGTAAAATTGTCAATTCTAACTGGGCAGTTAGTAAGCATTCTTCTCATTAAGAGAACATCTCATGCTGAATCACACAAGTAATCTGGAACTTTAATATACAGAGAGTCTAATTCTGATTTCATAGGCTGTTGTGAATCCAGTGATTCTGATGAAGTCAGTGTTGTATCAGCATAAAGTGAAATCAGAATTTCTCAAAGACCAGAACCTACAGGATTTGGTTAGTGTATGGAGATACACAACGTCTATATCCAGTTTCCAGTTGGCTTCCCTTTATTAAACACAGATGTAAAAAATAAACCAAAAAAACAACCCAGAAAGACCACACCAGCTGCAGGGGTGGTGAGCTACATGTCATTTTGGACAGATAGAGCCTTACCTAAACTGAGACAACTTTCAGCATGAAAAAAAGATACAAATTCATTATTTGTACGAAACATGTATTGCAAAATTAAATTGGGATTCAACAATCTGCAACAACATCCACAGCTAAATAGTATTTAAAAAAAACATGTGTGGTTCTTTTTCAAGTAAAACTAAAACAAGAGAAAGAAGTTTAAAAAAAAGTCTTAGAAGCAGCAAGTTACAATTCTTTCTGTAATACCACACCATTTTCATTAACTTGAATCATTTTCAAGATGTCAAAGACATCAACAAAATAGTAATTTCAAGTGGCTTTTTTGATATTTGTTGTTTGAATGGGTCCAGCCCAGGTCTGCAACCTGTACAGACATGCAAAACAGGAGAAATTCACAATTATTATTGAGAACAGATGTTGGAACATGCCAGTTATAAAATGACAAAGCAAAGAAAATACCTTCAAGTTGTCAGCAAACATGGGCTACCGACCACTAAGGGCATTTATTATTTTACATAAAAAGGAAAAGTTGGAAAAAAAGACAAGAACAACCCTCCAAACCATCAACAGCAGGATCATCACATAAAGTTCTCTACAAGCTTGGTATTTTCTATATTGCCCTTAATATGCAGGTTTATATCTTCTCCACAAGATACCAAACCACTAACAGTTTTGGTTTTATTTAAATTTTTCTTATTTTAAAAATTATGCTGAAAGTCTGTTTCATCTATGAAAAAAACTACTAATGCACCCCTTCAAAACAGAGAAGTGTGCATATATGTCAGTACAGGTGCTTTTTCTTCTACCTTTAGGAAAGCAAAGAATATATTTTTTTATGAACTAATCAGCAGCATCCTGTTCTGTCAGAATCAGTTTCACAGTTGAAAAAGTTACTGGTTTTAAATTTATATTTCACTAAATCACCATTTTCTAATGCTTTGTAATAAAACATGGCCCAATCCTGGGCTCCTTGCTCTGGTTGTCCAACTACAACATACTGCAGGAACAAGGTGTTCAGATTCAATTCAAGCTCAAAGTAAGCTACTTAGTGTTTTATGCAACTAATTCTCAGAATAAAGGGAACATCTTTTGAATCTCCAAATTCCAAGCAATCTCTGTAAAAATCCAGAGCTCAGTTACAGGTGCTTTCAGAGTCTGTAAGCAGATCTTATTTCTGATACCAAGAACAGGTGACATCCTCTCATTTACACCAATCTAAGTAAACAGTACCTCCACTATCTTCAGTGAAGTTACATCAGCATAAAACTAGTGTAACAGGATAAGGTAATTAGGACTGAACACTCTGAAGCTGAAAAGGGGATTTTTTTATTTTTTTTTTTTCCCTGAAACACTGGCACAATGTTTTTCAAATGCCCATCCTGGTTATAGTAAGAACAACTGCTTAAAGCCCATGAGCTTCTCCTACTCTTTAAAAATTTTATTTAAAAGGCTGTAATTATTCCAATCCCAAATTGTATGATGTCTGTATCGCTATGAAGTTTCCTTTCTTTTATTATTTGATGTTCATAACAACTTCCATAGCTGAGCACAACATTTAGTTGCAGTAACTTTTGGAAACACAGCCTGATTCCTCATGCCTTTCTGTTTGTACAAAAAGGGTGCAGAACACTGTATGCTTGAACTGAAAGACATTTATATTCATATTTACAGAAGTAAATGACTAGGAAGGGGCAAAATACAAAAGAAGTTGGGCTCATAACATCCAACAAATTTGAGCTGATCTTTTCATCCAGGCTGGAAAAGGCTGACCATCTTAGATAAACGAGGTAAAGCATTGTTTCAATACCAGATAAGTAAGGATAATATAGCACCTAATGTGGCATTTGTGCAACAGTTTTACTCAGTTAAATAAAGAGTTACAGCCAACAGGGTTTCAGATTTTGTGAACTAAAGTTGAAACTAAGCCATGTTTTAAGAGCGCTAAACCAGTAGTGTGTTGACTGTGAAGTAATACATACAAGGGTAATTTTGCTCTGGAAAAGTATGACTAAGGTTAGCAGGAGTTAAAATATTCATATGAACAAAAAGGAATATGTAACAGTCAATGAAGAGAGTAAGGGGAAGTCTGACTACAAAATATTTAGTAGAACTAAGGAAATAAAACTTCACATTCCCCGTACTATTCTTGGAACTTCTGTAGTTTTCACAAAAACAGGTTTCCCCCACAAGATCAAGTATCCACACATGCAGTAATCAGCTGCAGGATCTTGACTATGAAAATGTCTTGAAAGACCAAAGTCCTGGCTTTACAATCCCCAAAGTCTTTCATAATGTAATTGATTGCACATTTTTAATATATTACAATTTGCTAAACAAAGCCAACCACTCATTACCTCATCAGTACAGCCTGCACAAAGTAGTGTTTATTTATATACTTATATTCTAATCTAACACCAGCTGTCAGCATATTTTATATTACATGTGGTATTGCACTTTCTGAGTGGCACCTTGGTGCGTGTTTGCAAGTGAATAAGCTGAACCCCCGAAAGCCCCAAACCTTTGGAATTCACTCCAAGTGCTGCCAATCTAGCAAGTTTAAAATGTTAGGGTGAACATCACCAGCAGAATCATGGGCTTCACTAATTAAAAGAAACCTGTTTAAGAATTAGAAAAAACAGTCCTACCTGAAGTTGTGCATAAGGGCAATCTGAAATCCTTGGTAATCCAAACAGTTTCAAAAAGTGGTGCCAATTTAATTGATTGCACACATTGTAATTGTGTTAGAGGACAACTAGATTTACAAATACATATTACACACACACACACAAAACAGACAAATCTATAAAATGTTTGGTAACTCCACATGCTTTGAGCTAGCCAAGGTATCTGCTGTATGTTGAACTGCTTATTACTGATCATGTTGAAAATCTAAATTGCTATTTCTGATGTGTCTGTTACTGGATTAAACAACGAACTTCCAAAGGAGGAAGAAAGAGGAGAAATGGTGGACCCAAAGACTGAGGGTTTAAATGTACATTCCTTGAATAGCCAGCATATCACTTCAGTAATGTGAAGAGCGATGCCCAAAATTTTTTGAAGAGACTTAGGACAAGTTCACCTCTGGCATTAGTGGGTGTATCTGCCACTACTTCAATGGTACTTGTGTCCTCTTTCACCAGGGCTGAATTTGGTCCTAGGAGCATATCTGGTCACCTTCAGTGACGTTAATGGAAACGGGAGTCTTGGACAGATAGAACTGGGCTGCAAAATTAAAAGAGTGAATATTGGACAAATCATGTAAATAAAGAATATATATTAATAATAGTTCCTATTATATAAATAGCCTTTATAAAAAAATAATCTTTCAATAATTTTAATAACTCACCTTTCTTTAGGTACTGGAAAACATGTATGAAAAAAATCTATTCAGTTCAAGTTAGATTAAAGCAAACCTAAGATGAACACTACAACTCTCTGTTGCACTAAACCCAATTCTGACCATTCAATTTCCAGGTTAGTCAGTTTTTGGGGATGATGGGGACTTTCTTTGTGACAGTATGAATTGCACCCCTAGAAATACTGAGCAGAAGAAACACCATACTGAATGGGCCTATTTCCTACTGCTTTCAGAAACTGTGCAGATGACGGACCCAGAAATCAAAGGGTCATCTAAACCCCATAAACGTTAATGCCTCTGAACACATTTAAAAGGCACTGTCCTCTCACTACTGTTTTTAGATCTTTGAGCTTAAAATTCCTTCCATTCAAACTATGCTGCATTTAAATACTTGCTGTCACTTGAATTCTCTTTCCACTCTTCTCAATCCAGCATAGTCTCTACCTGCTGTACCAGATCTAAGGTAATGTGTGATGGACTCTATGTTCATGCTAGCACTATTTTATTTTTCCTTCTAATTCATCCTATCAAATGAAAAAAGAAAACATTCTTCCAAGTTCACCTTTTTGGGCTTAAGGCATAACATGAAGTCACACATCATACTAAAGCTTAATTTTTGAAGTGTACAATTGTAGTGCTATCTGAAACCCTGTTTTACATTATTTTTCAACAGTTGTCTGAACAGTTCATCTCTTTTCTTGCCATAAATTCTAGTGTTGTTCGTGGTTTGTGCAATTCCTATGCAACCAGTCTTTGCTGCTAACAGGTATTAACAGTGCAGTACCCACAAAGCGGGCCATCAGTTCTTGTTTTCTTTGCTTTCATTTCAGTTCAAAGCATGTTGCTTTATTGTGTGGAAAATCCAGTCCATTTTTGTTGTCCAGCCACCATGGTGAGCATCATTCATTTGCTTCATGAAGTACTCAAGAGCTTCCTGCTCGGTTTTGTCCAATGCAAGGGTCTTTCGAATGTACGCAATATCGTCAAAGGACTGCAGTTCTGGCATTCCTGAGCCAAGCATCATGGAGAAAAGGTTTATGAAGAGATTGGCATGCTGCCGAATTGCTAGATAAGCCTTATAACACATCTCCTGAAACCTGGAAGAGAGAAGGGAGGTGGGGGAAAGCTCAACGTATGTCCTCATTAGATGCACATTACTTCACCTCCAAAACAGTTTTCAGGTAACTGGACACTAAAGAAGTAGACAGTCTTAGTCTAATAAGAACACCATAATCTTCACTTCTGTAAGAATTAGTAGTGGTCAGACTAACGCAACAGCCAAAATGAAAACAGGCTTTCTAGCCTTAAACCTCATTTGCAATTCATGCAAGCATTCAGCCCAGGTTTATGACAGTTCAGAGCCATTTTAGTCATTGCTACTGACATTTCAGATTTCAAAACACATTTCCTGATATACTGCTGCAAACAGTGCTTTCCTGGTTATCATCAGAGATGTGCTTCTCTCCTGTAGTTTTATGACAGCAGAAGCTGTTGCTCCTTAGATATTCTGGTGAATGCACTGAAGACAGGGGCATTTGCTATATCACAACATTAGGTGAGAAATGCCTGTTTATGCTGAAATCAGTCATTTAAGTCAGGTTAAGAAAAAATATAATCAAAAAGATCTCCACAACAGCATTCAGACAACACTAATTTAAAATCTGTTCTCCCCTCAACATAATGAAATTAAGATTAAATTGCAACCTCTCAAAGGCAGAATCTCTGGAAAAACAGATACTAAGAATGACTACAGCAACAGATTTATTTTTTTTTTATTTATTACTATTTTAAAGTTCTCCTTTCTTGGCAGGTTCTGCAGAGTGTCACAAGCTACACAGGCCAGCTGAAGAGCTTGTATCACAGCAGTTATAGGAGAGCTAAGCATGGCTGAGTGACCAGCAATGCTCTGAATGCGCATTACGCCTGACATTTAAGAGATCTCAGTTTGATATTTAAGAACTCTCCAGTTTTGCAGTTATGCAATCCCAAGAGGACTTTAAGTATAAAATAAAAAAAAATTCTGATGTTTAAAAATTTATCTTTATTCATATGTGTGCTGACCCTGCAAAGCTAAAGTGAGGTTTCATGAACTGAAGGCCACATTAAGTGCTAAGATCCCCTACTGATTTACAAATGGATGGCTGATGTACGACTAAAGAATTAAAACATACCCACTGCAAGCCAATTAAAATACTACTTTTCAGTTAAAAGGTCTGATTATTAAAGGTCACCAGGAGTAAAGAGCATTTCAGGTACAAAATACTCTAAGTTAAATGCTTAAAAAAAGGCTCACCTTTCAAACTCCCTTGTTTTGGTACACTCTTGGGCTCCTTTACTAATCACTATTAAAAAGTCTTGTGTTAAGACAAATGGCACACGTTCTCTTTTATAACCAAATTTTTTCTTCTTGTGATCGAGGAAGTGCCCAAAGTCAATGTGAAACAGCTTGGAAAGACAGAAAGGTATTTTAAGATTAGTAATTCCTTGTTTAAATTATGTTATAGTAAACCTGATAATTTACTTATACTTCAGATGGATGATTTTTTTTTTTTTTTAAAAAAAACCAAACTCATCTCAAGGTGAGAGATGACCTTAAGCTATGTTATGAGGAAAAACATATCTTACTTGTCCATCGTCTTTTACCATGATGTTACTATTGTGGCGATCACCAATGCCCAGTATAAAGGTAGCAACACAGTAGCCAGCACAAGAACGTGTAAACAAGTCAATAGCTGCATCATACCTATTGAAAACCAAAAAAGTAGACAATTTCCTCCAGATATTCTAATAATACAAAAGCGCAAATTTTCTTCTTTTTCTTTTTTTTCCCTCCTCCCCATTAAGGAAGGCCCAACTTTTACCATCTTCTCTCAATGAAGCAGAGTTCCTCAACTTTATCACTTTATCAAAGTAAGAAAGAAATTCAGCATACTCTGAAAACAGTAGTACTTACAGTTAAATCACAGAACAGTAAACTAGCTATTAAAGTGGCTGTCCTTTTGAAGTCCAGCAGTTTTCATTTTGATGAGCTACTGTTAAAATACAGATTTAAGCCATATCTTCATAGTTATACCTCCAACTTATGCTTGACTGTTGAGAAGTCACACAACCAACCACTCAAACTCATTAGAAGAGCTACAAGCAGGAATAATAGGCAAACAAGGGCAGGAGAAAAAAAACAAAGCACACAACAAAACCACCAAAACAGATGGGATATAATTTTCCACTTGATGAACTATAGTTGTCTTGAAGTCTCCATCAAAAAGACAACATGAACAAGCAAAACAAACAATAGGAAGTCTTACATTTCTCCTTTGTTCTTGTCCTTGAGCCACTGATGCAACGTATGGCTGTTGAACTGCAATGCTCCTTTTAAGCCTCCTTTACACTGAATCTGCATGATCGTATGAGAGCTCCTCACTACCTCGATGAGTCCCACACAGTCACCAATAGACAAACAACCATAAGGCAACATCCTGTAAGATGAAGAGTTGATTTCGTGGGTTTTTATTTATGGGTTGGTGTTTTTGTTTGTTTGTTTTTTGTTTTTGTTTTTTTTTTTTTTTTAACAGAGTTAGGTTTTCAGACAGCAAGCAACAAGCATGTTTGATAACCCTTATCAGATAAGTGTCATCTGTTTTGTTAGGACATGAAAGTCTGTTTTAATGTTTTACAGGTGTATAATCATTAGTCTTGTGGAAGAAAAACCACACCAGGTATTAGTACAGTAACATGCCAGGCACTGTATCCACCAATGTCATTCTTCAATTTTGTATCAGGACAAAAGGTTAAGGCAAAATTTTACTAACATGTTCTCGGAGGCCTTGGGGAATACACTGGAAAAACTCTTAAGGAGGCATTCAGCATGATTTAACAAGGTCTATTCAACTACATTCTAAGTGAAGTTCTAAAGACAGAATCTAAGCATTCAGAAAACAATGTCAGGATTTCATGGGTTATCATAAACAAGTAGCACATAACACTTTGTATATAAAACCAGCACGGGACCTTCAAAACTAGTTTCCGAATAGTACCCGAACATATTATAAAATTGTAACTGGAATCTACAGTCAGGAACATTACAATTTATCCAGATGTTAAATGGACTAACTCTAACAGGTGTTTATTCAGGGACTCTTTAAAAAGAACATCATAAATCACTTTTTTGTAATCCGTAAGTGAAACTCAAAAGATAATCTCAGTAGCCCATTTTTCTCTTTACAAGTAGAAGAAATTAATTCTTCTACCTCCCTTTCCTTTCACCAGTCTCTTTCCTTGCCCTCCCCCAAAGTCTGTACTTCTTGGTTTTCTCAGATAAAGTTTTTTGAACATAACAAGTCAAAACCAATCATTTATTTAAAGACTGAAAGAAACATGGCCATTACCATGTTTAACATCCTCTGTTAAAAGATTTGGGAAAGGGGGTCATGTACCTAAAAGCAGCTCTTTTCTCTCCTAAAGTTTCCCTTTTGGAGTGAAAGTGTCACACCTATAGAGTAAAAAAAGCCTTCTAGGAACACTGGAGTATCAAGAGTTTTTCTGTGATACCATGGTAAAAAAAAACAGAAAAAAAGCAAAGAACCTGTGGAACACCACTGCAACATGTAGCCAGCGACAGTGCTGCTGTGGAGGTGGGCTCTCTGGATTAACAGCGCTTTATTTGCAGGTACTAAAAGTATATTTGTATCTGTCTACACTTGCATTGTTAGGTAAAAGTTTAATTTGAAGGTTAAAAATGAAACAGTGAAATCCATCTATTTTCTTAGGGATGTGGCATGAATTTTGGACTGTTAGACTTTCTGTACCATAGACACATGCAGTTTAGGGGCCTTAGTTGGACACATTACAATCTCTAGATCCTCAAGAGATTTTCTTTTTGTCCATTAGTGTAATCTGTAGCTTGCTCAAGATTCAGAGTCCCTCAGCTGCCTCATCTTGCATGCTCATGTCAGTCTTTCAGTACAGCAGATGGACAGCTGGGAGTTTTTTGGTTTTATTAAAAAAAAAAAAACCACCAAAACACCAAACAAAAAAAAAGAGCCTATCACACCATATCTATTCAACTTCTCTTCTAAAGCTCCATGCTGCATCTTTAAAAGAATGGTGGCAAGATGTGGGAGAGGACATGTTTTTGCAGATTTCCATAGGAGGCTACTCTTGAAGACATGAGAACTGTGAAGTGTAACTCTGCAAACCATTCTTGGACAAAGCCACAATTCTGTCACTCATCACAGTACTAGAGACAAAGTAGTTGCCCAGGTGCATGGGAGATGTAGACCAATAGGTCCTTTTGTCTAAGTCATGAGGATATGAGAACTGGGGGTGCAAAGAACATACTTGGTTTAACAGTGCAGAGACAGCTCTGTTACACCACAACCTAAAAATCTACCATACGGCAAACATTCAGAAGTGCAACCCGCCTACCATCAGTTTTCCCAAAGCATAACAGTTTATACTGAATGGCATTCCACAGAAACTACTGTACCCCACAGACTATTCAGAGGTGCAAAAGCTGCATGCACATCAGACTGGGTAATACCTACTTTGTGTACTGAAACAAAGATACCAACTACAAGGAGTCATTGCTCAACAGGGCTGCAAGTTTAGCAACTTGTTCAAAGCAAATCCTACAAATAACATTGGTAGCGTGGCTACTGTGTGCTAGCTCTTACAGCGTGGCTACTGTGTGCTAGGTCTTACAGCGTGGCTACTGTGTGCTAGCTCTTACAGCGTGGCTACTGTGTGCTAGGTCTTGTAACCATTCCTGATATGTAGATCTCTCACACCCGCTTGAATGAGACCGAAGTATTTTTCGAATACAATTTTAATCTTTACAGAATCTAGTAGTTTAGCTAACTGAAGGCTATTAAAAAATAAATTGAAAAAAAAAAGTCACTCTAACATGTACAAACAGGCCTATTTATAGCATTTCAGTTTATTACCCTTGGGAGAACAGAAGCAATCTCTTGCAACAAACCAATGCAAAACCCATTAAGAACAGTATTGCTTGGGAATGACCTCTAATGCTTACCGAAGATCAAGACCCTGATTTTGCCAGATGTTTTCCATAATTCTAATTATCTGAAGTGTCAGCATGTCCTGACGCAAGTCTGGAATAGTCAAATACATAAAGATTGCAAATTTCATAACACCAGAACACTTTGTTACATTTTATTTTACTTTTCCCCCAAAAGAGTATGTCTAAAAGAAATGAGGCTTGCATAGTTTAGTGTATGTTTTGTTTGTTGATAATGAAGTTAGAGATTACACATCTAGTATCTTAAAGATATTTTCAAGGAAAACACCCAAAGTGTTAAATGGTTATCATGTTCCCCCTCAATGGACTGAGCATCTTGGAACATACAAAATTTGTACGCGACAGATAAATATTTGCTTGTGCATGCTTATTTTTTCTGGAAAAGAAGACTGTTTTGCTCAGATGTGTTTTTAAGGTTTTTGTCAAGATATGTATTTTATATACCTTAAAAAAAATACTAAATGGTTGGTTAGGAAAATGAAGACATATAGCTTTTGGATTACACTTATTTTTCCTTACCGTCTCCATTTTTAAAGATTATCTCATTGTTCTGAAACAACAATTCAGACATAATATCTGGGTTTTCCCAGTTCAGCCACAGTGGCCTTTTTGCAGAAGACATTATCCTGCACTCCTCAAGCCTACAAAAAGAAATAAGGTTTCTATGAAATAGGCATAATTTGATTCTCACAGCATGTTCCTATAATGCTACTCAGTTCTCCCTGTTTGGTTAAACTCTTCGAACTAGTATCAAATTAAAGATGCACGGGTAACCAACAATCAACCACTTTTACTTTCGGCTCCAAATTTAAATTAATAAGTGTAATGTTAACCGCTTGCTAAGCACAACAGAAAAGCTGGCTATATTGTAAATTTTCCTTTGGCAGGGCATGTTCCTTACAAGTGGAAAAAGGACTGCAGTTCCTGTCACCTTAAAGGAACAGCTGTCATGTTGTTCCCTAATTTGTTCAACCATAACACTGAAACTACTTCACTCTTTATGAATTACTCTTCTACAATTTTTATTCAGTTATTGTTGAAGATACTAACATTTAGTATGTTAACATTTAATCTTAACACTGTGAATGTTAACATTAACTAATGCTTAGTAATTATATAGACAAAACTTCAAAACTAAAGACAATACCGAAGATTTCCCAGTTGATGCGCAGGATTAAGAGGAGAAATAAAACCTTGTAAGGCATCCATAAAATCTGGCCGTCTCATTTGTTCAACAAGAAACTTCATCTGTACCTGATAAATAATCACATTCAGGTTTTGAGGACACTAGTTACATGTAAATAAAAGCAAGTATCAGATTTTAGCTTTGGCTTTAAAGCATGGTTTTACACAGTTCCAACATAGCCAACTCTGCTTAGTCACAAATTCCACAACTTGAAACCCTTAACATTAGTTCTGCTGCTTTAAGAGGCACACAATGGCAACACACACAGAATATTATAGCTTCTACGTTAACATACTATCTATTGAACTTAGCATTAATACTTTTCTAGTTAATAAAATTAAACACAGTTCTAAGTAATTCCTGTGACTCAACAGCAACAGTTTTGGTATGTGGACAGCTTATAATACCTTCTGGGTCTCATCTTTTTTTTCCTGCTTGAGAATATCTGTGAGGTTAATTAACTTCTCCATAGCTTCCACCTGCCTGCTCAGATGCTTTAGGTACATTCCACATGCTCGACAATAGGACTCCAGAAGTAAACCAAACCTCTGACTTACAGTTTTATTGTGCATTTCAGACCTACACAGAGAGGAAGAACAGTTATAGCTTAACGACAAGACTACATAGAGCTGCCAAAAATGAAGCTACATCTTTACCATCTTCCTGAGGGCTGCATATGGATCCCTCTTTTCAGGTAAATAATTTGTGTTGACCTCCCAAAACTCATCTCAGTTTGACTGGACTTTACCACTAATTCAGCACAGGGTTTATAAGCTTTTCTCCTTCTTGCTCCATCCTGTCCTCTTCTACCCCTTGGCCTTTATTCAAGAATCCATGCTTCCAGAAACTCTGTAGCAAACCTCAAGCTTTCAACTTAAGTTCCAGATTCCTTTGCTAGGAGCAAAGCTAACCTGTTTCATTTTCTCCTTGTCTCATTTAGCCAATCCCAGGCTGTGGCCCCTCAAGTTTCCTTGTTCTTAGCTACTCTCAGTCTTCATAGAATCATAAAATACATCCCCCCAAACAAGTTAATGTCTTATGCCTGATGTTTACCAAGGAAAGTAGAAAACGGAAAGCACAACAAAGACTCCTTGATTCTATTTCTGTGTCTGATCATACTATCTTAGAATAGCTTTTTTAGGAAAGACCTAGCTACAATCCAGTATGCTGTAGGCCAATTTATGCTCAGCCTTCTCAACACCAGGAATTACAAAAGCCCATGTTATACTTAGTAAAAAACACCACTGAGATATTTTGGTTATCATCAAGCTCTATAAAGATGTTAATAAACCTGTATGAACAGTTATTTTCAAAGCTTTATCTGGCCAAATTAGGTTGCTTTCTTTAGGCCTCAACCATTTGTAAAAATTTTCTAGAAGAAAAACTGGTGGGGGATCTGGCATACAAAATAATGTTCAAACAGCAGAAATCTGTGAAAGTTGTAAACAACTAACAATATGGGAGACTTCCTTAGACTGCCCTGCTTCTAGAACAATCATCACTAGATAAAAAGAAGTATAAGACTAAGTATTATTAGCTAGTTTTTGAAACTGCAAGGGATGACTTAACCAATATATAAATATAAATGATATTTATATTAATATATTTATATATAAATATATAAATATTAATTTATATAATGACTTAACCAATATAAAACAAGCTTTATTTTAAGTGGTAATATTTCCTGTAAAAACCACATTTAGTGTGCCATGCCTTTAGAACAACTAATTGTTTACAGCTAATAGAAATCCCACCACCACTTAACAGGATGTTAAGCTTACTTTAAATGCCAAAAGAAGAAATGTCCTATCCTTTGATTGGTCAGTGCTTTCTTGAGTAAAAATCTCACAAGCTGATTATCTAAATACTGTTCATATTTCAGAACCTAGTTAAGAATAAAGAGAAAAATAAATATCAGCTGCAGTTATTTCTATGAACAATATACAGGTTTAAAGGCAGTTAAATAAAAAGCAATCTATGTTTTATGTTAAATTTTGTAGAATGACTGCTTGGTATTAATACTTGCATGTGTTAGGATTTGAACAATATCTGCTAACAGTGCTTTGGCTGCCTCTATTTCAGGAACATACCATCTGATGCTTCCTTTACTGTTACCAAATATTTTAGCCTCAACTTGCTCAAAATTTTGAGAAGATGCTTCTGCTCATCCTTTCCCCATATGTTAGGACAGCTGAAATAGCTGCCTGTTCCATTTGGTTGAACAGTTTTGCGTCTCTGAAAAATTTTGGCATTTAATATCAACAAGCAAAACCACAGCACTACAGAACATGAAGTATGTTTCATCTCCTCCTCCTAAATAACCTGTAATGCAAACAGATACTTTTGATGACCTCTTTTTCAAATCATTTAACTTTTGATGTGTTTTTAACCCTTATACACAAGACATCAAGTGTACCAAAACATGTTATATACCTGTACTAGCTGGATCAAGTACTGAGACAGTTTGTCATCTGTCAAGTACTTCTCTAGACACCGAACTGCAAAAGCTCGCACCATTGGGTCTGGATAATTACAGTCCAAAAGCTCCATTGCTTGCTCTGGCTTGATTGGAGGCCAATCTTTTACCAAACAGTACATCTGTGGACAAGAAGTCCAAGCACATCACACATTTGCATTGATTAGGAAGAAGTTGTAATACACAGCTGTTAGAAGATATCATCAGACAGACACAAACTGCATCTGAGTAGAAGCTGTTTACTCATCAGTCCTCTCCCAATAAACAATTTGGTATTAGTTGCCAGGTGACTTTGTTATTTTATCCACTATAAAAAGAATGAAAACAAAACCTCACATTTAACTGTAATTAACAAAATAACAACATAACAAGTCAATTATAGCAGCAATTTGATCATCTAAGTTTTCATTCAATGTATCATGCACACAACACATTTCTAACTTCCAGAAGTTTCTTTAAAATAGCATATTTTAAAAGTTTCTTCGATACTCAAAATCAGTTCAGTACTATATGTTACCTGGGCCACTTCATCTCTAGAATTCCATTTAACAGACAAAAGTAATTTGGGCAGAATTTCTGGAGTATTCACACAATAGTGTCTGCAAAAGAAAAAAAGTTGTATGTACAAAACAATTTTTGCTTTGAAAACCATCTATTGTGTTCCCTCAGTCTTGCACCTCTTCTTCCTTTGTCAGCACAATCCGATCAATACCATAAGGTCGTGTCAGGATCCATGCATGAAGGTAATACTGCAGTCATGGAGAAAATGTAAACTAAATTCAACAACTTTTCTCCTTGGACTTACACACCAAGACATACAATGCAGATGCTTACAAGCCTTTTCTAAAACACTAACTCCAACAACACAGAATAAAGGAAGCAAAACCCAAGACACTCATGACAAATTTGTGAATGGGGTGAAGTTTGACTGTGGCAAGGGTGGTTCTTTGGTTTGGTTTTTGTTTTTAAATACCTGTGGCTCCAAAGGAAGTCCTTCTCTTGCTCAGTGATTTCAGACAAAGGATCTCGTGTACATATGGCTCGCAGTTGCTCCTTGTCACTTTCTCTTAATTCATTATCTCTAGCTATTCTGTTACTCTGCAGAGAGAAAGTGGTCCATTAACCTCCACACATTCCCTTGTTGTCAAAAAACATACATGAAGTGAAGCATTTTAACAGTACAGCAACACCTATAGCCTATGTCATGTAAATACTATCCTGTTTCCTTTTGTTATAACTGAGGACTTTTAAATTTAAAAATAGAGAGAGAGATGAAAGACAAGGCCTTTGATTTCTAGAACTGCTTTTAGTCACTACTGGGACAAGAAGAGGTACATTTCAGCTAGATCAGCTGTGTGGTGAAACAGTAGCAGTTGACATCTGATGAACAACATAATGCAGCACAAAATTAAACTGGTCGTTTCTGTCTCCAGTTTGGAGACTGCTGAGAGTTGCTGAAAGGAGTGAAAAGGAATCAAAAACTGAAGCAGCAGAATATGGGAGATGAACCTAGGTAAGTAAGAGGTAGAACACTTTAGGAAAGCCTGAGTGACAGGAAGACTGGAAAACATTATCTAGAATTAGTATAAGATACTCCCCTGAGAACACAGAAGACAGAACTGGCACACACTGAAACTAATTTTACCTAGGACTTCATTTATGGGAACCAGCTTAGACCAATGACAGAGGTATTGAAACTACTGCCGCTTGGTTTTTCACAGCTCATGTGCCAAGTTCAATTATTCTCCTATACTTTCCATTTCTTAGTTAATGTGTTTTCCACAAAGCAACATACAAAATGCAGTTTGAGGTTTTGACTACAGAAAAAATTCCACTGCAAAAAAGAGAAATCATAAGCAGCTTATGTTATTGCCTTTAGTATAAAATACAACTGTAATAAACAAGTTTGACACTTAAGATAAAGCCATCCCCAAAATCCTACAAGAGTTGAACAGCGTTTTTATAGTGAATTCACATTTTTCACACCTGTATTACACCTACTACTACAAAAGAGTAAGATCAACTCTCCCAGGTTTGAATTGTTTAATCTGTAGAACCACAGTATTTGATTTCTTGTTTTGTTCTTTCCCTAGGCAAATTCTAGAAAGTTCTACAGAAAGTTTGGCTTCAGGTCTGAAGATACCACACATTAAAAGATAAAGGGGACAAATACAGTGCTAAGAGAAAATAGTGACATTCAAACTTGTAATTTAATTCATTTAATGAAATATGATTTAGGAAAGGATCAGTAATAAGAGGATTTTAGCAGACAAGGAGAGTTGAAAGCAAAGCAGCATGAATAAGGAGAGAGACCAAAGCAGTGATAGTCAGTTTGTTTCCCTGTCAACTTAGTCAGTGATGTAAATAGGTTGTCTCCATATTTAACCCCTATGACGTCCTCCTATGGTATTTTAAGGATTATCACAAAAAAGACAATAATTTGAGACTTTATTTTACCTCAGATTAATTTTTTTAAAAATTGTAAACTTTAAATTGATCATTACTTCGTCAGTGAATTAAGAGCTTACTCTCCTTACCACTTTATTTTCACCTACAGATGGAACAAAATAACAAGTTGAGGACATAAAGCGCCCAGGCAATGGGTTGTGTTATAGCAAAGGAATGTTATTTACCAAGTAGTCAGCTGTCCTTAAAACGCTTAAGAAACCTGCAGCACTGCTTAGGTGCTCACAATACATATCATAAACAGATACACCACTCTACGATGGACATCTTGCAGAGTATCAAGAAAAATCAAATGCCTACAACCCTTTGTTCAAGATATGTTGAGGTGGGACTGTTATAAATATCACCAGAATTACAAAACATGAAGCTTGCTGACACCTACACATTTTCTGGCACAGCGAAACTTTCCACCCTGAGACTCTTCTTCACACAGACCACAAAGCTCTCTTGGGGAAACCTTCCAGTCTTTGAACCAGCCTCCAGAAGAAAGTGTAAAACATACCAACTAATTTCACAGCCTTGTCTTTAAAACATGTAGCATTTTCAGCTTTACTGCTTTTCTTTTCTTCTCCTTTTAATCATCCAAAATATGCTTTTAAGAGAGCTCCAAACCTCGCCAAAAACTCAACTGTCAACACACATATTTTCTTCATGGAAGAGAGGAGATAAGTACCACACTCAAGTGTATGCCAATCAATTACTTTAGAATTCCCTGCACTTATGGTCATAACTAGCCCATTAAACAGCCAGTAAAGAGTTAAAAGGACCTTTAGGTTATGAAAGAAAGCCTACCTGTAGACACGAAACTGCAACAAAATAGAAGAGTATCATGGAAGGAGAATTACAACTTTTGACAAGTTAAACTAAGTAGTTTAGGCATCTGAATTAGCAATATAAAACCACCAAAAAAACCCTAACAGTTTGCACAGTAGACGGTTTCTTTTTAAAGTGTTCTGGTTGGTCAGTTTACTGGTAATACAGAAATGAGAATATATTACTCACTTTGCTAAACACAAAACAAAAAGTGGATTTCTTCCTTTCACAATAAATCAGGAGGCATGAAAAAGTTTTATCACAAATATACTGAGTAAAATAAACAACACTTTCATATTTTAGAAGCTAATCTTGAAAGGGGAGTTTGTCTTACCAGCCCCGCATAGCTGTAGTTAAACCCCAGTTCACGTGATATAGTCCAATTGGCATGTTCTTCAATCACTGTCATATCTGGAAACTTTACAGGATTGCTAAACCAATCAAATTCCAGCTCCAAACATGGAGTTTCCTATGTAAAGGGAATTTACATTATTTTTTCTGTTGAATTGTAACACAGCACATTTTGAAAAATGCACTCCTAAAGAAGAAAGTGGCATACAAATACTCACCTTATTAGGATTTGATCCAGTAACACCAATAGGATTCAACAAATCCTCCAGCCCATGAGGCACTGCCCAAAGATTCAAAGCCATTTTCCCAGATACAAGAGTATCTGTGTAATCGAACATGTTTATATTTCCCCAGGCCAATGGGCAGTGCTCCTTAAAGAGATTAAAAGATGATTTTTTCAGTGTTATCTATTAATTACTGCAGAGTGAGCCAGAAAAATAACATTTTCACCCCAGAGCAAGCTGTTACAACCCCAGATTCGCTGAAAGCGGGTTGTGGAAGCTGCACTGTATTTTTCTATGAATGACTGTCATGGCAGTCATTTTGCAGAATGGTATCAAAACACTTGCAAACACATGCTAAAAAAGGTCCATTCCAACCCAAACCACTCTATGACTCTGAGTCATAAACCTGGTTGTAGACAATATATAGCACTTATGACACATTCAAACCCAGAATTTAATTATGCTGGTAGCCAGAATTAGATGCCATATGTAGATTCTTAAAAAGGACTATTTAGGATCTTGCATCAAATGCTAAAACAGCACAAGATTTCTTTACTTTAAAAAAAAAAAAAATAAACTCTAAGCTTAAGCATAAATATTGCTTTTTTTAATGAATAGGTAAGGTACTTATGGGTTTAGAAATTTGAATTTAAAAGCACTTGCACCTCAAAAGACAACACAGGATAGACACTATTTACAGCACTGAATGGCTAAGCTTTTTTTCCATGTTACTTAACTTCTGGCTGAAAAAAGTGGTAACCTGAATAAGATACAAGAAAAGAAAAACCCTTATTTCAATCAGATTCGAATCAAAAAATGCACTAAGACTCATTGCGAGGACAGCATTTACCAGACATCTTCCCAAACTTAAGTAACTTTTGTTTGCTAATGTATTAAAGCCATGAAGTATTTTACCTCTTTAGCACCCTTCCGGCCTTTAACAGAACAGATAGAAAGGCAGAGCCGAGCAGCACGTGGAAGATCAGGAATGTACATATCATATGATAGCCATTCATTCCATCTGAGAGATTTAAAAAGCAGAATAAAACTAGGTTAAAGGAGAGCACCGAGACAACTGCAATCAGTGAACAGTTCGACTAAAAAGCATCTGTTATATTCCCACCTAAACTGTGTATGTGCATGAAGAGTACACCTCCTTTCTGAGAAAGGGTCCTCCTACATACATTTGACCATGTCTACCCTTTTTGGGAGTGGAAACTTCCCCGATTAGCCTTCCAGCACCAGCACCGTTTAAAAAGTCATGCTGGATTCAATTCCTGCAAATTGACTAACAAGTTCACTCTCACTCTTGCAAACCTACTGACTGCAACTGTCAGCACAGGTATAACCTGAAGATAATGGATTTGCGTATGTGTAAGGTTTAAATTGTGAAATATTTTTAGTTTCAGGGGAAAAAAAGCAAGTGGGAAAAAAAATGTGGCCTAGCTTTCACAACTCAACTAAAGATGAATTGCTAGAAAATAAAAAGGTAACTGCAAGATGGGAATAACACAAATATAACACAGCAATCAAATACAATATTCCTAACTGACAGTAATAAGAGCACAGATTGGTTCTACAGGAATACACATTTTGTTTTCATGAACTTCTCTAAGCAGGCTTTATCTCTCAATTGGCAGAACTGTGCTTTTGAAGAGGAACTTCTGAATACAGTTTATTTTCCTAAGCGGATTGCTGTGCTGAATTTTCTCAGCTGGAAGAGCCAACCGTTTCCAAGGACAGCATTAATTTTTCAACATGCCTGTAGCTACTTTACAAAGAAATAACTGTCCAAGCTCTTCTCTAAGAACAAAGAAACTGGCAGATAAAACTTTAATTCTTTTTTCTTGTGTGTTCATTTCATTTAATACAGATCTGTGTGATTACATCCATGTTTTCAAGTCACATCCATCACCACATTTCCAGTATTTTCTCTCTAAAACTTACCAGTTGAAGTACAGCTATCTTTGGGGCAACTCAGAGGGAGAGGCTATTTTTCAGCAACTGCGTATATTATCAGGCCTTCTAATTGTAACACTTAATCATATTAATAGAAAATATACAAAAAAATTTATATATTTTGAAACTTTCAAAAACATGAAGTCAGAAGATGCAAGTCAAAAATTACTTCTGAACACATACTTTCCATCTTATCCCAGCAGATGCTGAAATTTCACACCTCCTCATTAGTTAATGTTACAAGCAGAAATTCAATGTCTTTCAGATATCTTTTCTCAATATGTTTATATATGCTCATATAAAGCTTCTATTTTGCATCCTAATGGCACTTTTAAGTTCATGTGATTTATTTTTCCACTTGATGTTCATGATAGGTCAAATCTCCTGAAAATAATCAGCCCAGAGCTGGCAGTGACTTCCATGTTAGCAAATGATACCCATCTCTCCACACTCGGTGGTTCTGCTTTAGTACAGCCTATACATCACATTGCCTCATGCTGAACGTGAAATCTGAACTTGCAACTGGAATACCTGCTATTGATCCGGTCAAAAACAGAGCTCAGCCACCCAGAGCTATGCTGATTTCACAGTATTAATGAGTAATTATATTGCAGATTCAGAGGCAACTGCAAATGCTTGTGTAAAACAGATCTGTTCAGCAAAGAAACTACACTATTATATGCAACAAGACAAAATACTTACGGTTGAATTAAATTAATTCTATTTATAAATACAGGGTTAGGTAAAAACGTTCTGGCAAAACTTAAGGCAGGGAATTCCCAGCAAGGAGTTCCACCTGAATAATGGCTAAATCAAGCCTTTACTCCTTCAGAGCTATCATGATATCCTGGAACTCAGGTTCTCTATAGTCATTCAAGTGCTCAGCTTACCTGGGATTAGAACAAGGCACCCTTTGAGTATTCACATTATCACACAAAGGTTCTCCTCCATGGTAGATACCTGTTCTAACATAGATCTGAAAACAATGTTAATGTTAGTACTATCTTTGAAATGTTACTATAAACCATTTTTTTCACCGCTATCAACTTATAGTACGATTACAACATTATCCACTAATTTCCATCAAGTAAAACACAAAACTGAAAACCAAACAGCCCCAGCACCTTTCAACCTAAATTCATTCCTGCTCTGCAAGGTGTGAAGCATGGTATATATAAGCATACCCTTCTAGAAAAAATGTTTTTGTCTTTTTCCTCAATAATTGCAAAACCAGTCCTTGAAAATACAATAGTAAACTTGAAGTGAGCTCTAAAACCACTCGGAATTTGTTTTCAATTCTTCCTGTGCCAAGCTATAGTCAAAGAAAAAACCAAACAAATTCTGAGAAAGTCAGAGTGCCAAGCTTGTAGTATGACTTCAATGGGACTGAACCTTACTTGCCTTTCCTCCTTGATCTTCCCATACCTCCCTTTTTGAAATCCAAGACAGCAGCACACTATCTAGCATGCCCTCATCAAAACTATTCCTAACTACTGTAATACATTCTTAGACATAATAATTATTTAGAATAGAAGAACAAAACCCATGTTACTTATATCCATTACACTCTCAGCTGAAGTGAGCTATACAAACTGAGTTCTGCTTCCATCAGGTAATATATTTAGCTAAATACTACAACTCATGCTTTTTAAGTAGTACATAAAAGTTTTCAGATGCTAAAAAATGGCTGCGTTTTTGTAGAATTGAATGCTTAACTTTAAATAACAAAGGGGTTTAGCTTTCTAATATGTTAAGGAACTCCTCTTTTCCAGTGTAAACACAGAACAGAGAACTCAGGGAAACAATGAGTGCCTGAAAACCACATACAATGCCATACAGCATTTGCCTTACCTTGTCTATATCCCTGATGTTCACATTTACATAGGTTGCACAGAGGATCCTTATTCTGAGAGCACTGTTTATAGTCCAGAGGGATTTGGCTGTAGCTTCTCCATTCATGTAGGGTGTAGCTGTAGAGATACGTCTGGAATAAGATGGCATTGTAAAGGTGTCCAGTGGTAGCTGGGTATATAGGCTTTCCTTAGCCATCAGCATCAGATTGGGCATGCGACCAAGCATTATACAGCTTCTTATATACTGCAAGAAAACAAAACTAAAATTCAGTATGCTTTCAAGGTGTATGCTCTTGGTAATCTGTACCTAAAAAAATTCAGGAAAATATAGAAGTGTATTTAAAGAGCTTGTAATTGTTCCTGTATGTACACCCTTTAGTGTTTATAGTTCCTTCAGTGGTATACATATGTTGTTGGGTAGGATCACACAGCAGTGCTTCATACAGATTTTGAGAGATAAATAACATCTACAACAGTGGAAGGTTGAACTGGAGATAGAGAACAGAGCTGACAAAATGACAAGTCAGGTTTCTTGTAGTGCTCCTTGGCTCCAGGACAAACAACACAGACTGCTTCCAGATTAGAGCAGTTCCTGGAAGCAGCTGAGCTGCTTTTGCATAGCATGTTGCTTAACTAGTCTGCTGTGCAGACCTAGCACAGGTGACACTGATACTCCTAGTCACAGGCAGAAAGCACAAGACAAATGGCAGACACACTAATTTTGGGTTCGGTTGTGCTTATTACCTTATGCTCAGCACTGATCCTGACAGACTCTAGCTGTAAAACTATGGTGTCCACTCAAGACTGAGAGCCGAGAGCATTTAGTCTAGCAACAGTACCACAAAATACAATGCGTTAAGACAGGTCCAGCCCTGGAGTGTAATTAGGAAGCTCTTTTGTGACACAGTAAAGGCATAGCAGATACTTCTGAAGAAACCACGCTAGATCAAATAGGTTTAGTGTTTGATCTCAAGATGACTGTGCAAAATTATTCATGTATGCCTGCACTTGTTCCACAGCTCCCATAGAACAGAGCTACTTTTCGCGTTACTCAGGATGCCCCAGCCCCCTTCTCTCCTCCACTGCTCTGGAGAGCAGATCAACAACCATTTTACATGAAGGAATGGAAGCTGTTTATTGAAACAATACACTCCTCAAAGAGGAAGCAGCAGCAGTCTGTCAGGAAATCTACAGGGTAACATTGTTGTCTGCTCCAGAGGGCTGCTCAGATGCTCTGCTGTCAGCAGTTCTGCCTTGCAGCACTAACAAAACCCAGTCAATGAAAGACAGCCAGCCACAAGGAAGATTTACAATGGTTTATGTAGTGCTGGAAGTTTATCGCTCCTTTAATAAGATCAAAAAGTTTAAAAAGACATAAGTAACAGGAAAACAAATAGTTTGTTTAAATTTTTCCCACCCCTAAAGGGGGAAGGGACAAGATTCATAGTAGCAACAGTTGCCTCAATTTAACATCTGATTGAGTTTCCTTTTGTATTACACCAACCCCACTCAAGCATAACTCACCTCTTGTCATCAGAAATCTAGGATATTTCTGAAAGTACCTACCACTGATATATCACTAATGTTAGAGGCAAACTACTTCACTCACCGAAGAAAAGTTACACTAGTGATATAAATTCTAGTTCGAATTATCTTTTCTCCTCCCCTCTCTTCTGAAGCACAGACTGCAAATATGCACACTACACACATGCATTAGCCATTCGTTTAAAGACACATACACTTTTACTTCCTATGTTCTGGATTAATGTAATGAAAAAGTAAGCCAGTCATAAAATTGATCACTTCTCTCCCTCAAAAATTTGGATTATTTTAGTGTATTGCAAAATAAATCCATTATGTTACTCACCTTATACTGGCTCAGTGGATATTTTTCTAGCAAGTATTCATCACAGCCACACACTTTTAAAATGTATTTGCCCTGGTACTCCAAGACACAAAGTTTAAGTTGTTCAGATGACAGCAACATACTTCGAGTTTTCTTCCTAATTGCTTCAGCAATAACTTGCTCAGGCACACAGTCATGATTGATTTTTAAGGTGTATTTCTGCTTATCATTGTTTGGTGAGACTATTACCCATATCACCACTATAATTTGCCCTAGAATAAACGTAAAGTAACATTAGGCCTGCTATTTTCAACACAATTTCAAAACAACAACAAAAAAAACACAAATAAAAAACCCCCAAACAAAGAACTCCCACTCCCTGCACCACCACACAGAACTACTTGCAGTACTACTGAAAGAAGATGTAGACAAGATTCACAGCCCAAACCGACAGAGGGTTTGTAAATTTTATGTGGAAATATGCGTGCTCAGTTTATTTTTGACTCTAGTGTAAAACCTTTTACCCCTTGACATTAAGCATATTTTTAAAACCAAATTTATTTATCCTTCAGGAAAGCAGCAGTAACTGTTTCATATTTGAGGACTACAAGATAGCTCAGCAATTCAGCAACATTTAAAATTCCAGATTTCTGAATGTCAAAGAAAAATGCAAAGCCAAAAAAAAAAAAAAATCAGCTGTATCTACCAAGTTATATTTCAAGATTTAGTTATTGCAAAAAAGGTAATTTTAAGTATCTTCCTTAAGACTTCATCTATGAAGAATGTTATTCTGAATAACTTAAGGTGTAATATATTGCTAAATACAGCACATAAAACAGTAAACAGTGATTTACTTCAGTCACCAGGTGTAGTCTGATTTCAGACACCAAAAAAAAAGTTTCTACTGTAAATATTTATCTTACCTTTATCTAGTTTATTGTATATGTGTTTGGGTAGCTCAGGTGAAGACTCAACATTTGGAGGACAGACATATAATGCTCTACTATGTGGTGCGTTGGCATCTCGAAGATCCACTGCTTCTTTACAAACATTAAGAATATTTCTTCTGAAGTCTTGTACTTCGGGATCCTTAACCATGTCAAATTCACAGACAGGCATGCCAATAGCAAAACCTACAGTAGTGAAGAAGCATGAGGAAATAATTGTAACTGATCATTAAAGCTAACGATTCCTTCTATTAGTGACAGAAAAAGAATGCTTTAAGCAAAACACAACCTAAAATATGTGTTAACTACTGGTTTCTACTTGTATAAGTAATTGTTTTATTTCACTCAAGGACTCTGTTCTAAAGTTAAGTGCACTCAGCAGTTACAAAAAAGGTTAAGACAGGTGTACATTCACTGTAGATCCTGGAAGACTTAAATCACCACTCACAGCTAACACTCCTCCTGGAGGAAAAGGACCAGTAATAAGCTTCCTTTGAAGTTAGCACAAAGTCTCCTAAATGTACCAGAGGAGCTCTGATGTCCAATTTTTTCTAAAACCTTGGCAGGATTATTGGTAGCTATCAGGGCCATAACCAACTTTGCTTACAACTGAATGGCAGATATTGAATTTTTCTGATGAATTACACTATTTAAAAGTGCGACAAGCACGTGCAAGAGATACTGAACTCCGCTCTTTGGCATAGAGCACATAATAAGAGTTCATTTCTCTCAGGTCCTCTGTCTTAGATGTAATTCCATTTACTTTAATGAGTTTACTTGCATAAATAATTATTTATGCATGAATGAAAGTTTTCATTTGAAATTGTCCTGTTGCATGATCAGCTAACCAGTGTTCTCCCAAGTCTTGAACAGGTTAAGCTTTACAAAACACTAGTAGTTTTGGTGCAATGGTGCACTCATAACAATTAAATAATTTAACAATTAGGATCATCCCAGAACAAGTATTTCCAGTTGACAAGTCTCTACCACTGCAAAGTACATTTGTTAGCATCTAAAAGAGACTAGGTATGCTTGTATTGCCTGAATTTAGATAAAATTTCTTCTGACATCTTGTACTTCGAGATCCTTAACCATGTCAAGTTCACAGACAGGCATGCCAAGGATTTAGATGACCTAAATGATGAAATATACACTCGTCTCCCTGTGCTTTCTCAATGGATATTGGAGAATTATAAGCTATTCTAGAGATGATTCAAAACATTACAATTTGTCTCCCCTCCACCCCTCCAAACACAGGTGTTTGTTTCCCTCCACTCTCCATGCTCTTTTTCTAGGAAAGGGGGGTCAAACCACCTTATTTCTGAAATTTTACTTTAAGATAGAGCAGTATTAAAACATCTTCTAGAGCAAATGTGATTTAAGATTTGTAATTAAATCCAGAATTCACAGTTCTGTAAACTTCAAAACAAATTAAAACTGAGTTCCCAAACAACAGAACACACTTGGCTCTGTAATAATATGAAATCCTGTTAATAGTAGACTGCAAAAAATTACCCTCTAACCCACATACAACTACAAATATGTACAGAGCAAACATGTGAATCAAACAGAACAGCAAAAAGAAGTTTAAGTCATGGTTTATGAATGATCAACATCTTTGGACACCTGATGCAACACCCGACAGTTACAAAATGCAAACTTTGACAGATAACAGGTAGCAAACACAACCCATTTCAATTCTCTGTTTAACTGGCTTCTCTTCAAAATACAAAATACATTCGCTATGTTTAAATAACGATAATCTCACCTATTTCTCTATTAAGAATCTTTTCTTCTCTGTTACCTACTGGTTCAATGACTTTTAGAAAAGGCTGAAATAGTCGCAGGTCACAAAGTCTCCGTGTTTCATCAAAAAATTCTTCTCTTTCTGCTTCTTGCGTAACACTTACAAAAATGTAAGAAGATTCATCTTGAAGGAGCTGATAGAGAGGGTATTTTCTTGCTTCTTTAAAGAGTTCATGTTTAATAGTTAGTAAGGTAGCCTCACGGAGGCATTCTAGAGTCACTATCATTCCATTTGGGAGAAGACACTCCACCAGGATCCTTGGTGGCATCAAGTGGATGCCCCATAGTTCACCAGATGATGGTCGTGGAGGCATTTTTAAATCTTTAGATAGCTTTGTACTGGAAGTTTTTCAAGCAGTGATTTGTGAGAGCAAACCTAAGTAAAAAACCAAAAATTTAAATATTAAATTTAAAATAAGAACATCACAAGGAATTTCAGCTAAAGTAATTCAAATACCATTTTTAATTACAGATTAATATTCACGGCTATATTTCACATGAACTTTTAAAAACTGATATCTAAGCAATTTGTATTTGATGCAAATATCTACTCAAAACACAACACAATCACATTAGTTTGAAAAAATGCCAATACACCTACAGTCTTAAAAAAAGACAATTTTTTATTACCTGAAGTTTATAATTTATTATTAGAACATATAAATAGCATGAGGAATGAAAATATCTAATATTCAAATTATTATCATAGCAATTTTAAAGCAAATCTCAAACCCAGTTCTTCACATTTTTAATCTGGAAAGAGAAACATTTATCATCATTTGGATGAGATACAAACCATCAGCTCTGCTCTGTTTAGCCAAACCAATTCTTCAATCTTTTTTTTTTTAAAAAAAACTTTTTCTCATCCCAAACCTTTTAAGTATTCAACCACCACTAACATAATAGTTATAAGTATTTACTAAAACCTCTAAATATGATTTTAAGAATCCATGTACACACAAAACATGGCCTTAGCTTATTTTTTAGATCGGTATAAGCCTCTTACACCAGCAACAAACTGTTTTTTCATGAATGAGACAGAAGAACTGAGCTCCATTAATACTTTAGTTGGGCTTGTTTTATTTAGGATCAAATCCCAGTTCTAGTTCCCTCTGGCAGGCGCATGAATGTCTCTGCCAAGGCAAAAGAAAGGAAGGGAACACATGTCTGAACTTCTAGCAGTGCTGCCTTATGCCACTTAAGAACAGGTACAAGAAAAAAAAAAAGTATCTGGACAGAGTAGAGATGTCTTATAGCCCAGTGTCCAAGAACAGATGCTAAAGAAAGAACATAAGAACTAGGCACATGCAGAGACATTTCATCAATAAACTCTTGCAGTCGCTATCTATTTTTAATCTCCTAAACCAGAAGCAATTGAAAGAAATCAGTCAAGAACTACTGAGTTTGTCCAGGAAGTTTTCACACACAAACTGTTAGCATCCTGTGACAAGAGTGAAGAACATTCCATGTTATATTATATCTCCTTTTCTTTGCTCTGAAGCCTGCTACTTTCACCTGATATCCCAGACTTCTCGTAATAAAACAAAGTTCCTGTTCTTTCCATTCATTGCTCGCTCCTAGAGATCTACCAAGTCATCCTCCTTTGCCATAACAGTCCCAGATTTAGTCCTCTGCCCAAAAGTAATTCTGTATTTTTAATCCATGTCACCTTCTCTGTATCTCTTCCACCTTTACCGTATCCTTTTTGCAAGGTAGATGGTGATTAGCCATATTTGCACACCACATTCAAGGTTCAAACTGAACCAGTGACATAATATTTTTATTGCTCTCCTAATAAATTATTTTTCTAACTGTCACTGAGCAGCAAAGCATTTTCACTGAACTACATAACATAGACGTAAGCTTTCATTACAGAATAGTGTTACCACAAAGGCCACCATACATTAAGCAAATCTCTAATAGTGTATTACTTAACACTTAGACCATAATTTGATTACCTTCAGCACATACATTATGAGAGTGGGCAGTATCAACAGACATCTAGAGCAGTCCATTGTCCATTGGGCCTTCTCCATCAACCAAAAGTCCTGAAAACACAGGGCTAGGGCAACTACAAGGCTACTGTTCTAAAGCCATTCTTAGTCACCTTTTAAGTCAAGAACCTTCTTAGGACTGCCCCTCTACCTTAAGTTTCTTTCCTTAGCAGCAGAAAGAATAGAAAAACCCAAACCAACATATCTCTTCTGTTTCAGCAGCTTTCCGAAAGCTCTCACCGTGGAAACAAAATGAATGCTATGCTTGCCTTGTGCTCAGCAATTTTTTAAAATATGTATTATGTATATAAAAATATACATAGAATTCTAAATATATTTCAAATGATATATGTAAAAAAAATAAAACCATGATCCTCATTTCTGCACTTCTACGCCTTGGTACCTATTTTCTGAAAAGTTTTTTTCCAAGTACATCCAGTACCTGCTTTTGCCACACTTCAGATCTTAAAAAGAAGCATTAGAATGAAAATGATGTTTTTGCAAATCCACTGCTTCCTAAGCAACTCTGAGTAGCAATAGGGTTGTCTTTTTTAATCCCTCCTTTGTAGTTGTAGTTTGGGGTTTTAAAAATATCAACAAAAGCACTGAAGTGCCGCTGCAGGTTTAGAAAAATGCTTTTCCACTAACACCTCATGCATATTTAGAAGGGCTTTGCAACTGACTGCTTTTTTTAAGAAGAGCTTAAAGAAGCTATTTTATTTTCCTCATTGTAGTAATAGTCTCAGTAAGCAGATGCTGAAATGGAAAGTTCTGATCACACTCACAGTGCATTTAAAGAGCCAAACTTGGAAAAGCTTAGCAATTACAAAACATTACAAGTGAACCCAAATAACACCATTTAGAGTAACTTGGAGAATTCTGAATTACCAGTAACTACCCTCAGTTTACAGATGAAAAGAAATACACAGAAGGTTAAATAGCATCTTTTTGATCAGGCAAAGCATGAACAAGACTCCCTCTCCATACTAGTGAATCACATGCTTATTTGTTTCTTAATTACAAGCATAGGCAGAAACACATTACTGTTAAGGCATATACCAACATAAAAAAGCCAAAACAAGAACATGCAGTTGTAAGAACTTTTCTATCCACACATAATAACAATGATAATATAGATGGACCACAATCCAATTAAATATTCACAGCACAGACTGAGTTTATTCCAGCAGGCTTTTAAGTTCAGATCCACAATCCTGTTGAGGCTCTCTGAACTGATGGTTTTAAGAGCCTGTCTTCTCCCTGCCCGAGGTGTTTCTCGGGTTAGTTTCTGCTGTTTTACCTGCCTTATCAAGGCCACCATGGAGTCAGATGAACATTGGGGGCTACACAGGGGAGCAAGCATGACTGCAGCAGTGTGGAGCTAGTTCAGCTTCAAAAATTGTGGTTCATTCCATGGATATTTTTTCCTCCCTCCCCACCAATAATTGCTAACAAACTAACAGAGGCAGGACTGGGGGACACACATACACATTAAGTCCTTTTAGACTAGTATGTTTTCAAAATAGATGTCAACCATGACTTTTTTAAAATTTAAAGTGTTAGAAGACAGCTCAATACCATTTCTTTAAAGACTTGCAAACAGTCCAAAAGGGACACCCCAAAGTCTATGCTCTTTTTAGAGCAACTGCACCAAAACAGCAGCTTTTGTTTTAAACTGGGATACAGACATGTGCTGGAACAGGGCACACAGTCATTCTGTGTGCATATTCATTTTACTTGCACATGTAATCACGCCTCCAGGGTTTGGATTTGGAAAGCAGAAATATAAACAGAAACAGTTTTGAAGTATAGTTGGCAGCTTGTGTTTCTGTGTACACTTTCAAATCTGGAAGGCTGCCTGGAATAAATAGAATCAATTATGTTCTTCGACAGTAAAAGGACTGTAATTTTAAGAGAATTCTAGCGAGATGTTATTTAAATGCAGCTAAGGGTACAAGCAAACACTTCAAATGAACACATCACACCTGCAATCTCCAACCTTCCAAAAACACCTTAAACTTTTCCCCCTGCCAAAAGTTTTGGGATACCGCAGATGGTCAGAACGGCCAAACTCAACGACACCAGCCGATTAACTTGTATCCTTTTCAACTCATTACAGCCTTCCTGATTCGTTCAGCACATTCTCCATCACTAACCTTGCTGAGCACCCAGCCTAGAAGTGATCAGATTTTGAAACTGCATTCAAAAATAGTAAATACCCATGGAGGAAGAAAGAAGAAAGTTAAACCACATATACCTTCCAAATAATGATTCCTACTTGCTAATGTATATAATCTATTTTCTTATAGAACAGAAATCAGCTGTAGTCTGATACAGTTGATATAGTCCCTTATTTAGAGTAAGGGATTCCAAGTTTAGAAAACTCAGTTTTGGTAAACTGACAGTTTTATCACCTCACAGCACTGAACTGTGCAGAACTACAGCAGTATGATTAACTCAACTTCAGTCTACTGAATATTTTATTACAAGTTACAGCCTACAATTATTTTCCTAATGCCTTTTTGAAGACATACAAATATTTTAGTTCTGACAAGATTTACATGAGACCATCATAAAGTTTGCTGCTACTTCTTCTGAAAGTCTTCCCCCTTGAGGAATGGAGCTCAGTGGGGGAAATTCAGTAAGAATTGTACTGCAGGAAAGTTAATATTGGTTCCTAACATTAGTACTCAAAGAAGTACTTTCTATGTTCCTAATTTAAGTAACCTAAGCTTGAGACAAATTAACTTGAGTCAAAAACCCACATATATTTTCCCTTAAAGACATCTGAGGCTACATCTGAGGCAGCTGTTTTCAACCACACTTTTACACATAAAAGCCCTGTGCATCTACAGCTCAGCAGGACACCCTGGCAGTATTTTTTTCCACTGTACGTTAACATTTTGCCAGAAGAATCTCAAACAGGAGCGTTACTGATCTAATTTTTATGTCTTGCTAAAAGGAAGGACTGTTACCCATCAGTACAGACAGAATCTACATTACAAAAACAAGCAAACAAGAAATTACTTTTCATGAGTTCTTCTATCAGAAAGCATGGAGAACCCTTCCTTGCTAAGAGAACACTCATTTTTACAGATTATCTGTTTACAGATTAGATTAAGTGAATTGATTTTCACTGTCTAGAGATTACTCACAAACATTATACCAGCTCCACATAGCTATTCAATATTTGGCAATTGAGAGAGAGAGATATAAAACAAAAAACCCTCACAGTTAACTGATAAGGCATTTTTCCCCGTTTTGCAAGTTATCTGTGTGCATGTTCTCCAAACACAGGAGCTCCACCTAACATTAACACATATGTCCTGGAAAACAGGTGAAGATCCATGGTGCAAATCTGTGGGTTCACTCTAGATGGAATTAAAAAATTTTTTTCATCTTAAGAGACTTGTTAAGGTGGTCATCAGCACAAGCACCTACAGTTACTCTTCAGGCTCTGCAAGAAAGCAATTCTTCCATCTATGATGTACCAGCCAGCAAGTATAGAAGGAAGCAAGAAGCATAAGTGTCCTTGTGCTGTAATACTGTATTAATGTATAAAGTATGGGATGTTTATGCAAAGAAGAACACATTTCAATGACCGAGAATGGAATAATTTTGCATTGCTGTAAACATCAGCTAGTGTTTCAAAATCAATTCAAAAGCATAGACTAAACGCTCAATGCAATTTTATCAGTCCATACTTGAAACTGAATTAGTCATTCAGTAAACTACTACACTTTAATTGAAGTCCATTAGTTTTCCAGTCACAAGACAAATCCCGTTACATTGCTTTCATGGACAGGATGTAGCAATGTTTTATAGTAATTTGCAGTATCTTTGCTATCAAAACCTGCTCATTAGGATTTGTGTCTAGATTTGATTTCTTCTCCAGGTAGAATTTTCCTCTAGACTCTTTGCATTGCCTTAAGAAAAAGTCTTCCAGTCATTAAACAATCCAACTATGTTTATAGATTGATTTACTGTGCACTCATGCATAGTTTGTATGATTTGCCCAATCCCCTGTCAAGCTGACAGAAGTATCAACTACAGGTATGTCCCCAAACAAGCTTTTTTTAAACGTCTGTGGAATTCCCAGAACAAAAATTGGAAGGGAATAAAAAAATTCCTGGAACAAGAATAACACTTTTCAGAATGCAAGACATTTCACATTTTCTAAAGATCAAATGTTTTAATCTCCTCTTCAGACACATCAGGCACTCCAAAAACTCACCATGAAGAAAACTGGGCAGAGTTGCCTGTCTAATTTTGCTGCTGTCCAAACCTGCTCCATTAAGACTGCCCCAGACTAGATATTTTCAGTACTGTCCTTTTGTTCTCCCTGCTTGCCAAGCTGGCATTTTTCCAAAACCCAGGAAGACTAGTACAAAGATGTCTGAAACTGTCCTCTATGAAACATTATTACACACAGATTTAAACAGTAGAAATACTGCTTTATTTAGAATAGAAAGCAGGAAACTGTTATATTGCAGTTACGTCTTCTTATTTCTTAGGTATTACTTTCATCATTATTTCACAGAAAGAGGCAAATACGCAGAATTCCTTATCTGATCACAAACAGCAGCTCAAGGGAAACAAACAAACAGAAAGATTTAACACTGTCGAAAACATCTTCCTAACATTTAGCTTCCTTCTGAAACAGGCAAGTATTTCCAAACACTACCAATTTTATTTGTAGTTACCTACTTCTTCGCTGCAAACAACAGTGCTGAATACCTTTGCCTTGTTCTACAGAGCTAAAAAAATCCTCATGTTATTGGTAGCATCTGTAGAATTACAGTACAGCAGAAATACAAGATCATTCTTTCTTGTGCATGTAAAATCTCATTGGAAATTAGTGAAAAGAGACTGTAGTTCAGTTCTCGTATATCAATGAGAACATGGGTTGAATATGTTTCAAAGCTCTTTTCTTTAAAGTTATCTTACATGCAGATTTTTATTTTGTTTCAGAATATAATACTGTTGGATTCTGGTTGTAGCGACTTTCAGATACCATGAATAAAATCAATGGTGAGGTCATCCTGAATAAAACAACCTAACTCACTATAAAGTATTGCCCAAGAGATAATACATATGTATGTTAACTGTTACTGAAAAAATATCAAACAGCTGAAATGAAAACAAGATGAACAGTATAAAAGTATTTATTATTGCTGCAGTCTTCCCCCCACCCTTCAAGAAAACCAAAAGACCTTTGGAAATTCTTACTTTCAAATCCCCTTGCTCACCCTCCCCCATCCATGCAGGCATATTGTTTCTAGCTTCATTCACTATTTGGGAGCCATGAAAACAGGATCACAAGAAAGAAACATTTGCAAGTTGCTGGTGACCTCTACAACTCCCACTATGATTGTGCTTTTTCCCTAGAGATCCCATGACATACCAACAGCAGAATGTCTGTCCTAGAACATTTTCTTCCAGTTAAAGGCAGATTTTTTTCCTCTTTGTTAAACAAAGGAAAGCCTGGAATTAAATCTTCCTTTTTAGTCTGAAATCATTCAGTAATTCCATTTCTAGATTCACCTTAAAGGAAAGGATTTTGTTATTTATACAAAACTAGCAGTCATAAAGCACAACAAAGAATCAGAAAAGCAGCGCATCTTCCCTTTACACTTCGTGTATCTACTTACTCACTATTTCAACCACTACCTTAGTCGGCTATGTAGCAGGAGGAGAATTACTCTCCCATCTGGCACTGTACTGGTTGGAGCTGTTCCTCCAGAGCTAGGTGTGCACTCTGAAGCTCAGTGAGCAGCACTCAAATTCTTTGAAGCTCTTTAAATCAAAAGCCTTAAAGTTCAGCAACAAAATCAGAGCAACATGCCACTTTGTACCAATAGAAGCAAGGTTTTTTCTCTGATTACATATTTTTCTTTAATAGTCTATTTTATGTGGGTGACAAACATTTTTTATGTAAACATCAGAAAGAACACGAAGTAAAAGCACATCATAAACCATATTCTGCTCCTTGCTACAAATACTAAGGGCTTCAACGTTAGTTTTCACACGCAGAAATGTTCTGCTTTCGGAAATTAGTGCAGACCAATGTAAATAAATGATTACTCTAGAACGTCATTCATCAAACTAGACAGGTAATAAATGCTAAGTGTATATATATATAAAAATATAAAACTCCACCTTAAATAATGCTGTTTACTTCTCTTTCCATGTTTCTTCCCATCCTCCCACCTTCCTGGGATATTTGGAACCCAGACAGTAAACAGGATCTTTAAAAACAGGAAGTGCTGGCACACAGACAAGGACAAGGAATAGGAGCAGAGTGAATCCAGGTGTTGTCCACTCTGTCTAGTCTGAATCTTCACCTAACACAAGCAGCTGTGTAGCAGAGCTGTAACTCAAGATACTGGGCCCTTCCTGGTGCTGATCTCCCCCAGGCATGTCACCTTGGCTTTTAGAACTCCCTGCTGCAGCAAGACAAACCACCAGTTGCATTGAAAAAAGAGGAAAGATTTCCTCTCCCGCTGTCCAAACATAGAAGGGCAGAAAAAGAACTGAAATAAGATACTGGGGGTACTGCAGTCCTCACAGCACTACGCTTGCCTCTCTACCACAAACAATATATCTAGAGGGTTCAATCGACAATATCGACCTGAGCAGCTTCTCTGGACGGAAGACACAGAAAGAAACGTGTGTTCCTAAGGAAATTTGGCCAAGATAAAGCCCACTTCTGTTTATTAATTTATATCCATCTTTACCCCAAAGATCCCCTCTCTGAGTCCTTCCTTTACTAAGAAGCAGCTGAAAAAGACATCAAACTCAGACTGACTTAGAGCATATTGCATACTTCCCACATAATAATTCTTAGGATGGAGTCAAACAGCAACTTTATATTGAGATAAAGGGTTTCTTCTATGCTAAATTACACCAGACCCTGAAAGCAACTAATGTGTAAAAAATAATTTCAGTGGCAGTGGATAATGCAATACTGAAACTTTGCAGATGTTTAATATTAAGCACAGAACAGCAAACTGGGAGATGGCAGTTTGTTTCATAGTCTGAATATAAGTTAGCTTTCCATTTATTCTATCTTAACTGACTTCTGTAGCCAAACAGCACTTACAGAAGTATGGGTTTAGTCCATGTGGACTTAATGAATTCCATTAGCAAAAATCATTATCTTTTATTTACTGGCAAACAGAGGATGGGCTGCAACTTCACTCTTGATAGAGCATTTGTAAGGAACCACATGCCGCAGCAAAAGCCATGGAAGTAGGGTTTTTTTGTTTAAGCTCCTAAACTGAAAAAATAAAACAATACACTCTCCACTGAGGTATTTCTTAACTCCATTTTTAAAACCGTTTGTTGAGAGAAGGAAGTTTGTGGCAGAGTTAACACAAAGGCACAGCCACCATCACGAAAAATTTCAGTTCTGCAACCTAATACTCTCGTCCTATAAACAGCTGAAATATAGTTCTTTGCAAATTGTCCTATACAAAGACACATGGAACAAGACAGCAGGGAAACAAATCCAGCTCCTTGCAAACCCTGCCCTGTAGTAGTAGCAGCTGCCTACCTCTACACAAGCTATAATCACAACAGAAAAATACCACGAGTCAGAAATAATGAAGTACTACTCCCTAGTAGGCCTGTTTGTGATACAGAGTCAATGGTGATTAACTAAATATTTATTTAGCAGTAAATGATAACCCTGCTGAAAGATAAGCACCAACAGTTTTCCATAAAATATTATCAACAGACCTTTATTTACTCCAGCAACAGACCACGCCTGTCCTGCCTACCCTCCACACCAAGTGTGTGAGTGGGACAGTGGGATACTATTCAGCTGCAAGGCCTTTGGTACCACTGTGTGCTCCCCTCAGGCTTCACCTCCCTAAAGGTCACAATCACTTTGGCATACAGCACCTAGAACGCTCAGTTTTCTGATGCACTTATGTGAAACAATACTGTTGACTGAATTACTGATTATGTAAGGGTATTTGACTGGTTTGTATGTCACAAAGAAACCAAAGTTTCTCCAAAACCTTAAGGAGTTTAGGTTTATTCTTCTAGCTGTTGACCCTGAATAGGACTTTTCTCTGCATTTACAGGTTGAATGCCAAAGCAACATTCATGATTCTTGAGACCCTAACATATTTGCACTTGTGTTCAAGAAAAGCAAACATGATTCACTGTGACTATGTATGTCATTAGGTTCTGTATGCTTCAGCCTGAAGTATAAAAACAGCCATGCTAAACTATGACAAATGGTTCTTCAGCATGTTTAATCAAATGTTTATCATTTCTGTACATATCTGTTAGAAGCATCTGCTTTGCAAACCCTGTACTATGCAAACATGAAAGCATGATTTTAAGCATGGGGCTACTGAGATATTAAGCTTGTTGTTAGTGCATGTCTTTCCTATACTTCAAGCTGTTACCCAAATTGTTTTTCTAACGAGGTCAGGGTACCAGCAGTTTGTGTTTACTACATCCAAAAGAAATGTCTAATATTTGCCTAAATAGATAGTGATTGCAGTTAACATGAACTTTCACAAAGAAGAATGTGACAATCTCATAGATATTTAAACAGTGAATATCAGCAACATCTCCATAATAGCTTAAAGATTTCTCGATTTCCCAGCTTGGTAAGTGACTTTCATATCCAGATGAAACACTTTGAGACTAAGTCACATGCTGCCTACTACTACAATCAGAACTCTGTAAGAGTTAAAAAGAAAAAATTGTTAAAAAGCATGTTAATGTTAAAAAGAAAAACTTATTTTAAAAAAGCCAAAAAGATGCTGGCAGCAGTCAGTCATTGCTATTAAGAGAACTGTACACATCTGCACAAACAAGGAAGTATCTTTAACACATCACTCTTTGGAAACATTTCGTTAATGTTTTTGTAGGTGTGTATATTCAAAAAGACTACAAGCAGTTTTTAGCCTGGTGAAGTTTAACCCTGGGATAAAACAGAAAACCACTAAATTTTAAGTGTTTTGGATTTAATTTCAACTCAAAACACATCAATTAGGGAAGAGTGACTATATAGCAAATCTTTTTTTGTTGTTGAAATAAATAACCTGCTCACATACCAGGACAGCAAGAGATTAGAAGCTGTAATAATGGTTACGCTTCTCTTATCACCTTGAAGATGCTTCTGATACTATCCTATCTGCTGATGTACAATGAAAGGCTTGGAAAAGTGGTGATAAAAGAGTTGAAGAGCTGGATTGCAAATTAATTTGACAACACATTTAAGGAGAGTTTCCACAGTCAGGAATAGGTTTTCCTATGCTTTTCTTCATGTATCAACTCTGCTGTTTCATTGCTTGTTGGCTTCCATTTTCATCCTTTTATCTCTTGGTGGTAGTTATGCCATCTTCCCCTACACGTCAAAACATTCCAAGTTGGAAGTATCTAAGATCAAGGGAGTGCTGCTGAGCAGCGATAACGACATCAGTGCTTTATCCTCCATTTCAGAGAAACTTGAAGACGACGGCAAGTTATTAGAATTTTGCTAACCACAATCCTGGTAAACAATTAAACACGAGAAACAGTTGAACTTTACCTTCTCAATTAAAATGTTAAAATCAACTCTAAGCACTTTCTTTTAGCTAGCAACTACTTACAAAAAATTCACATAACTGGTTAACTTTTATCATCTACAATGACAGCATTTCAATATCACAGTTTACACCTCAACACAAACATACAAAGACTGATTTATAATAAGCTATAACAAACTTCCTAGACTAAAAGTGGTACTCACAGGCACGTTGTTTGGACACATCCTCAATTATACGCCACAATCAAGTCTATTCAAGATGTCTGGATGTTGCTTAAAAATTAGCTCTTTCACTTAGACACTAGAGGTTTTCTTGGGACAAGTGTTCTTCTATAGTACTTAACATCGAAATTGAAGGAGATTTCAGAGGTGACAGCATGAAATTGCAAGCAGATAAAATACAATATATTAATCACCTTCCTCCCACCAGTGGAGGCTGCCTTGATAAACTGGTAGGTGGAACTGGTTGTTCAACATCCGTATAAACTTTTCAGAAAGCAGAAAAACAATTTTCAGTTTTATTAGCACAACTTCCACTTTTATAATGCAGCCACAACATTTGCTGATTATTCTCCTAAGAGCTGGAAAGATAAATACAAAAGTGAAGAGTAAGTGGTATGTTTTATAATCTAAGCAGTTTAATGACCACAACAAGCATATTTTAGAGTAATTGGAGTGGAAGTTTTTACTTCCCTTTTCCCAAAGGAAGCTAGCTCTACCTAGAAACTTCTCCTTATGTTAGCACTATTAAGATAACAGTGCTAACATTAATCTTTTACACTATACCTGTAGTCAAGATTCAAGTTAGTGTTTTCCAGCCTTAATGAGAACTAAAAGGCATTAAGCACTGAAGTTGGATAATAACATACCACACAAAGCATATTTGTTAAGTTTGAGAAAGTTCATCTCCAATCTGCTTCCTTGGTAAACCGTTCTTTACCCTCTGCTCATTCTTATTTCTTTTCGTACTTGTATTTAAGTGTTCAGTGCTTAGCTTGCCTACATCTTTGCAAAGATCAGTCACCTTGCTTTTCTACTAAGTCAGATGTCAAAGTCCCAAGGTACAGAAAATTTTGTTCTATTAGTTTCAGATCACAGAACAGGCAAGTATTTCTACTTATGGTTGATTAGTCTTAGAAGAAATGTTGAATCTTGAGTATTTTCTTTTCAGTAATGTTCAAGGTTTCTTGGTTTTTGAGGACGATGTTCAAGAACTTGTTTATTGACTGCTAATAGCTAAAAGAAGGAATAAGGTTCCAAAAAGGAGTAATTTTTTTTCTCACAGATTCAACATCCTTTGTAAGGACCCACAGCTAAACAGATTAGATAGTTTAAGACACTTTTCCAAGACAACAAATGCAATCTCAACAGAAAATTCATTTCTGGTAGGACTATTATCCAAGTTAACAGCAAGAGTTAAAAATTAGGAAAAGTCTTGGAACACACTGGGCAAGAGTCATTCATCACCACTAACTGCCATATTAAGTAATGGCAAAAGATGGACTAAGAAGTATGGAAATAACAAAAACAGTTAGGTCTCAATGACAGAGAAGTTTTTTTGACATGTTCAATCTAAGGGGCAACCTTCCAGTTTTCTTTTTTGTTTGGACTTCGAGAGAAAACACCCAAGGGATGTTTCTCTACGTATCTTTGCCTTAGAAGAAGGTCATGATGTACAACAAATGTGACTCAGCTGTCTCAAAATTTCAGGGAGCTTTACAGTAAGTCTTAGTCAATTCAATAAGTCTCCTGTATTTGACAAATATGCTTTGTGGTTACAATGCTCAAAAGCTAATTTGCAAGCTTTCATTAATCAGAAGCTGTGAGCAAAATGGCCAAAGTTTTCCTACATAAAAATCCATGATGATCAGTTAATTTAAGGAAATACATTAATGCTAGACAAAAAAAAACACCGAACAAAACCCAATCTCTTTGAGGGACATCTAACCTTCTATTTGTAAAAAGCAATGGGGCATGAAACAAGATGATGTTCTCATGTTCTATGTTTGGCCCAACTGTTCTTAAACTAGACTGAAGTAGTAATTTATTTCTACTGCTGCAAGTTAGCAACATGGCAGAGAGGCAAAAGCTTCAGCAGTATTCCATCATTCTCCCCCCTTCAATTTCATAAAGGTAAGCTGGCTTCCTTGAATTTAATTTTTATATTTCTAGAGTTTGGGTATTTGAGTACAGTTTTTCAAAAACAGACTATAAACATTCCCAGGGAGTGTACTCAGCAGTCATAATTGACAAAGGGCTTTTATTCTCCACTTTACTGGCTTTAAGAAATGAATGCTCTTAATAGAAAACAAGCCATGATGCCCACTGTCTCTCACATTTCTTGTCTGAAATACACAGGCTTCTCAAACCGCCCTTCACAAAAATCTGCACCCAGAATTAACTAGAAAAATACTTTTATAGAATTGAAGTGTAAATGCATGCTATATAAAAGCAAATATACTGCCTGCAAAACCATTACGTACTGCTTAGACTGAAGAAGACAGATCCAGAACTACATAAACTATACTGTCTGCTGCATTTCCCTTTGACCACAAGTTAGCTCACAGGATTTATAAAAATGACTTTTTATTTTTTTAAAACAGTTTAATTCCCTCTATCCCCCAGTGGAGTTTGATTTTGTGGGAGGGTTTTTTGGTTAAGTTTTTTTGTTCATAGTTGTTGGTTTTATCAACTTAATACTATGGCAGTGCTGCAGGAAAAAAACAAAACCAACACACAACAGTTAAATGAACTAGAAATAATACTCTAAACTATTAACACTCCCATTAGTCATTCAGAAATACATTTATAGAATGAATTCAGTTAGAGGGAACCTCTGGAGGTTATCTGGACCAACCCCGTACTGAAAACAACTCACATATGTTTGGTGTCCAAATAAATACCAAGAGAAACAAATCCATTGTCTCTCTCTCCTGCTCACATTTGGATTAGGATACTACAAAGAGAAGCTTGTAACAGAATTCTTTGCCATGACACATTCAAATTAAAGGGCAAAAGAAAATTCCCATCCAGTTTTAGCATAAATATTTTTGTGGCCTCTTCTAGCCATAGCTACAGTATCAGACAGGCATCATCACTTGGAGCAGCTGGATGTCTGGCTTTCTAAAAGGATGAGACAAAACTCCCACAAGCATGGAATGCAATGCATAAAAAGCTGCAAAAAACCCCAACAAATCCTACCTTAGCTTACACTACAAGCCACAAGTCTGTTTCTTCAGTCAGCCAAAGGACAAACTCTTATTCTTTCCCTAGTGCTCCCTCTCCAACTCAACCACACACACAAAAAATGCGTACATGGCCCGTTTTCCCCTCATCTCGGAGATTTACTAGATCTCACACATTTTTCAGTAATTACAGAACTGTAAGTAATAAGGCAAAACTTAGTTTTACAATGATATTTTAAGATTAAACAGGAAAGACTTATTTTGCAGTATTCCTGCTCCAGTTATAAATCATAAAAATCAGTTTCCTCATCAGTACCGAGGTTTAAAAAAATTTTAGATTCCCCTTACCCAAATACAACATTTTGCATATGCGCTATGAACTACAACCTTTGTTAACCTTCATTAATGTACACAACTAAGCAAAGCAAACATACACATAATACCCAAGAAATCCTAGGATGTCTTTAACGATTTGCAATTAATGTATCATCATTATGGTTTCCCTTCCCCCAAAACAGGCAAGAAGAGCAGTCACAACAGTCTCCAATTTGGAAGTGACAGGTATTTGCAAGGTGTTCAGGTAACCGGGTATTCCTGGTACACAGAGAATCTGCATCAGAAGTCTAGAAGACTACATAATGAATTGACATTTTATGTTCATCATTTTTAAGAAAACAGTTTTTGCATAGTAAATGTCAGCCTTAGGTTTGTTGACTAGCCATTTATAGAAAACTTTAATTTCTGTCCAAGTTAAAAAGGTTGTTCAAAACTATTACCCATGACCAAGACATTAAAAAGCATGCTACACTTTTGAATCCGAGGAACAACTGTCATCAGTAAGTCCATTCTTTATGCAGTAACACTTTTAAAAGGTATTATTTTCTCCCAACAGCTGGAAAGCTCTCATAATATACTTGGTCTCGTAAGATGGCATAATGGTAAAGCATGAAACCCTTGCTTGTTGTAAACGTTTCTATTTTAAAGCTTCCAGCAACTTTAAAGTAGTGAGTTATCCAGGAAGAAGCAGTCCCTACTTGCTTCCAGAAAGCAGTAATAGCCTGATTGTCAGAGAAACAGTTAACTAAATATTTAACTACTTTATGACTTCCAGTAAAGCCAACTGCTTTGTAAACAGCTCTGCTACACCACCTTTCCCAAAGAATACTCCGGAAAAACAAAATGCTGAATGTCTTTATTCATGAAAGTAAATTACAAGAAGCAAACCAAATTTGCCATTTACACAAAAGGACAATTTGAAGCAGTCAAACAACTAAAACACCTTAGCATGGATTTGTAGGCTAGGATTAGTGTGCTCTGAAAAAATACGAAAACACTGTCTCCGGGTTGCTAAGAATGGCATCGAGTTAACACCTATGAAATGCAGGGCATCTGTTCCAGTCAAATTTCAACTGCAGCTCTGAAGTTGATGTATTTATTGTCTTAATGAAAAAGCAGAATGTCTCATGGATCCCATAAGGAATTCTGCGGCTTCATAAATTCCTCTGTGAACACTACAAGCTTGGTTGATGTGTGGTTTGTCTATGCGATGACACTGGCTAAAATATGCTTTCAACTAACCATTATGGAAAAGTTTGCCAATGTTATTGTTTGAGAATAAAGTTATTTATTGTGAAACTTTTAAATTCACACGGGGTTTTATTTCAGAAAAGCTTATCCAGTCAGTGCCCCACAGTAGAGAAACCATTAAACCCCATCATCCTGAGTAGTGAAATATTCCTACAAACTAATCGTCTTTACACACAAGAGGTAGACTTTGATTATTACTGCATTAAAAAATTGCAGCATGGAATCAGCTGAAGCAACAAGCATGAGAACATCCCCGAAAATTAATTGTGAGGTGAAAGAAATCAAAGAACGATTCAGATCGCAATGAGAAAGCTTCAAACTTTAACAAATAATTTGAAAGCCTGCTAAAGCTCAAAGCAGGGATGTGAAGGTACAAGTAACTAACGGAACAGAGTCCAGACTCCTTCCATCAAGTGCTACAAAATCCAGATTCAGCATCTAGTTTACCACTCCTTTACAAGTCCGCCGCAGAACGCTCATAACTATAGAATTAACTCAAGCAAAGCTGTCAATTAACTCAAGCATACTGTCTACTTTTAAACATATGCTTTCCTTGTGCTTGAAGATGCACTGTTTATAAAGTAACTTCTGTTCAATCACATCTTTAAAGTCAACAAGTAAAGAGTTACAGAAGAAGATTACAGAGACATAGGAGTATTAGTAGCAGAAATAAAGGTCCGAAACAGTAATAATTTCAGGAATACTGAAAACAGCAGCAAAACCCCCCAAGAACAACAAATGTGCAGCTTGTATTAGTTTGATCAAAGTTTTGTTAACATTTGGTTTACTAGAAAATACACAAGCACTGGTAAGAAACAGTAGTTTCTTATTTAACATCAATAAAAAGAGATCTCTGGATAGCATGAAATAAGAAAGACATTTTTACAGGTAGCAGAGATGTGACACAGCTACTGCAAGTGGACTGCAGCTGGAAACAGGAGATGTGTATGCCACCGATTCATACGCACACCCAGTCGGAAGAGGTTCTGTTCCCAGTATCATGAACTGGCCCAACCGTGAGCCTACACACACTCCATCACAAGAACTTCTGAAACATCTTCATACAAAACAGCCATATGTCGGGCGTGGGGGGAGCCACACTCAAAAACGAAAAGCCCCTACGGGTTTTCCTCTCCCAGGTCACGTCCCTACGAGGGGACCCATAAACCAGGATCTGGCGGAGGAACGCCCTGGAGCTCTCCCAGCCGAGGGAAGCCCCACCGCAGCGCTCTCCGGGAGGACGCAGCCGCGCTCCGACCCTCCCCTCGGCCACCCGAGGGTCGCGCTTCCCCCGCCGGCTGCCGAAGGCAAGACGCCCCACAGCCTAGAGAAAGCGGCGCCCCTCCCCGCCATCGCCCGGCCAGGAGCGCCGGGAAGCCCCCGGCCCCCGCCGCGGGACGCCCCACGGAGCGCTG